CTGAGGTCCTTTATGATACTAAGCCCCACATCAGAATTAAAAGAACCGCTGTTAACAATTATAAAATACTAAATATAGCTCAGTATATTTAAAAATGAACAATGGTAAAAGCCTTGAAAATTTTTTCTTTGATGTGAATGGAGTCTTTGGCATTTGGAAATACAATAAGATGAATTAATTGCTACTCATTAGGCGGCAAGTCAGGAGAAGTATGAATGTGGCTTCTCTCCTCTGCATTAGCGGCTGCCTGACCAGAATAGCCCCCTTTTGTATTTACTCCTGCCTTCTCTAATAATAAGCAAATTAGAGATCATGGCTAGAAAAAATTCAAGTGCCCTCCGTCCTTTCTCTAAAACCATCATATAGTTTAGTGATGTTTATCTGCGCCAGGGTTATGGCTGATAATTGCAGAGGGCATGTCAATCCGCATAACACAAGGTTAGAAAAAATTACTTCTTAGGGAAATATTTTTTATCTTTTTCTGAAAAAGGTGATTTTTCAAGCAAACTTGCATCATACTTTTGTATTTGGTTTTATATTACTGTATATTCCAAATGTAGTTTTGGAATGACCTCCCACCCCCACCTGTCACCCTGTGTTGCTGGGAGTTGAACTCAGGGCGTTGTACATGATAGGTAAGTGCTCTCCCAGTGAGCCAGATTCCCAGCCCTTGAGGCAAACATTTCATAGCTATCATAGTTGGGTTTTTTTTTTTTGTCTTTATGTTTTTCCTGATATGTTGGTTGGCTTCCATATGAATAAATTTAATTGGAATCTTTAAACTTTGAAATGTTGGCCCACGAATAAACTGTTTGGATACGCTGGTTTAGTATGCTATTCATTAACATTCCATATATGGCAGCTGTGATAKCTTGTATATGCAAGCCTGTGACCTTTTTATATTACCTTTAAAATTTGTCTATGGTTAATGCCTAAAGAGTATGAGGTAATTGATATTGCAGGATAATCAGAAGCTRGGAAGGCAGGGAGGAGAAGGGAAGATAAGACCCTCCTAATATCCAGTCTGATCCCTAAGATGTCCTGTTGTTCTGAGAGCACATGCCTGCCTGTCGTGTATCCTTGTGGGAAAGCCGTCCCCTGGGTTCCATGCAGGCATTTCCAAACCCTGTGTCCACTGCAGTCCTGCAGAAGGAGGCTGTCGGGGAATAGGCAGAGCAGCAGCCCTGCTCTGCTTCATGAAATATGAAAGCCTGTTTACTTAGTAACAATAACAATTTGAAAAGCTTCAGGCTGAGGAGTTTCTGTCTGACCACAGCCTGCTGGACCGTGAGGCCGGGGCAGTGAGGCCATTGATGGCCCTGTGAACCAGAAATTGGAYTGTGAAGAAAGTAGGGTCGGTAATGAGACACGCACCCTGGACAGAGTGCTTCATCTGCCCTCATTCTCAGGTCGCTTGGACCACTTGTGCTTAGAAGTACAGCCCACCCACTTTCCTATCAGCAGTCTAAAGATTCATAATTTCTGCCCTTAAGTGTTTCTCGTATTGCAGATCAAGGCATCAAGTTAGGGTTCATCTGGAAGATGGTGACTTGCCATTTCTTTCCTCAGTTCCCATTAATCATTTTGTGGCTTTATTCTTTGTAATCTTCAGAATAGAGGGTCTAGAAATCAGTAAGGAGGAGGCATTGTGAACTTGTCCAAGCCTTTTTCTAGCACACAGTTGTCTTCCCTTGCTCACATATGTACACACACGATACTCAAAAGAGTATTTCCTGTAATCTCGGACACTGGGGATTCTAACCCTGTAGTGACTTAATCGCAGATTTTCAAGATAAATACCGTGGGCTCATCCTTCGCAAATCTCATCCACATCTCAGAAATGTTGGTGTGAATACATCTCAGGATAAAGTTAATTTGGGGTGCAATGTAGCACACACTTTTAGATGTTCTTAAAACCTTACTTACTGRATAGATTAATCCCTTTCCCCTTATCAGGATGACAAGAGGAAAGGATAAAGTTGAATGTGTAAAAGGCCGGGATGTAAGACCAGAGTGACAGAGGGAAGCTATTTACTGGGGTCTGACATTTACAGTTATAAATTTTCCGAAGCCAGGCATGTGTCTCTGGCTGAAAATGACAATTGAGAGATCCATCCATTGAATCTCTTAGCCCGGCATCCTCCAAACTCCCCTTTCAGGATAAGTGGGTCTGCAGAGAGCCTCTTGGTTCTCATTTCCAGGTAGTCCTGGCTGTGCTTATTATCCATCTCCAGGGTTACTTTAGATTTTAAACAAAAAAATTAATCCTTTTAATTTTCACATCTATATCATAGATAAAGGATTGATGCTATAAAATTAAATGAACAGAGCAGATCCACTACAAAAGGTAGGAAATCACGGGCATAGACATTTTAGTCCATTTGCAGAAAATTGCCTATTCTCCAATAGGTAGGTCAAGTGCAGAAAGAACCACTACTTGAGGTGAAATTTCCATTCCACACTTGGCTTTCTCTCTATTAGGATAGGCAGCCAAGAGCTGCCTAAATGTTAACATCTCCTGTCCTCACACTAGTATTTTTGTTGTTGTTGTTGTTGTTGTTGTTGTGGCTAAATGTATTTAGATGTATTTGTTTATAAGGGAATGTACCCTCTTAGGTAAACATACTTTTAGAACCATTAGAGAATAAAATGTGTCTTTTTGTTTTGTAGATGAGAAAAATCTCAGGGTGTGAAATGACTTGTCTAGGTAACCCAGCCCATTTATGTCATTTCCCCAGCAGGTGCACCCTTCATCAGAGAGCATGTGGATGTGGTCAAAGTGATTGCCCACCTGCTTTTGAACTCTCRTTTTCATTAAGTACCTGGTGCAATGCTGCGTAATAAGAGAGTCAAACTTTAAACAAAAGCAAAACATCATGTTCTGCAGCTGTGTGACACACACACAGCAAAGATACTTTTCTTCTTTCCCACACTGACTGATTTCCCTGGTGCAAACAAGATGAGCTTTTGTGAAAATTTTCAAGAGCTTTTCAGTAAGCCAAGCAAAGGGAACCATCTCATGGAACCCTTAATAGAGAAGGGTTATGGAGATACAGAGAACTATTTTACACTTGGACCTGGACTTTCTATTTGTAAGTTTCCTCACCCAAGTATGCCAAACATCTTGTAGTTGGGCAAGAAGAATCCCTGTCACCAGCATAAACACAGACGACGCATGTCTGTGAGAGGCCCTGGGACCTTTTTTTGGAATAGATCCAAACCCACAGCTCTTTATTTATAGCTTGTCAGTCTTCAGAATTCACGTCAGTCAGGTGGAGAGAAGTTGTCCAGGTTGCTGTTTTCCAAGCTCCCCTAGCTTGGGCCCCAGAGGAGTTGCAGGGTATGTTGTGGGCTGAGGAAGGCGCCTGTGGTCACACCTGTGCCATTACCTCAGTTTCAGAAATCACTTTGAAAGCATTTGCAACTTCTTATAAGGGCTTAAGAGGCTTGGGGGCTAGAGTCCAAAGTGACTGATCCAAAGAGAAACCAACAAGTGTTGGGTGCATGCATGGGCAAAGTGGTCCCAACCCAAGTGTGGGTTGATGTCAAGGTGTTCTTGCCTCTGAATGGAGTAGGTATGACTGGATGGGCTAGGGAGCAGGTGAAGCCACAGGACTTTTAAAAGTGGGTTGACAGGCACTGCCATCCATTTCTGTTGGGCCCAGTTCGGCTCTAGGGCATGTGCACCCTCCTAATCAGTTTATTATAAAATTTCGTCAACTTCAAGACTCCCCCCCCCCCCCGTATTCTCACAATGTGAGATGTTTTAGGTGTTCTTTGTTGTTGTTGTTTGTTTGTTTTAACTTAAAAAAAAAATTACTCGAGGAAGCTGGCTTCAGGTGAGAGCATTTGGCGAGTTAGCAAATGGAGCTTTACCTGGAAGGATGCCATATGATGAGAAGAGATAACAGGCAACACTCTGAGTCACCGGGGTCCATTCCCACGGGGACTAGTAATCCTGCAAGCTTCCAGGGCTGCACAGTGTCATTTAGCTACAGCAGGTGCCATTGCAGATGTTCATAATGACCATGCACACTTCCGAAATGCTATATTTGCAGCTTTTTGGTTTTTCAGTTGTGGGCCACAGAAATATATGAAATATAAAAATTCATGCAAGTGTTAGACTTTTCTTCTTCCTCTTTCCCCCCATCCCTCCTCTTTTCTAAGGATTAATATGAGCATTTTGAAAAATTCACGTGGTGTTCTTGGTGGTTATGGGGCAGAGTTGTGTCTATACCTTGGCAGTACCTAGCGGGTCTTTCTTAGAAGCCCCTAAAGTTGTTTAATTTTTGGTTTTTGTTTATTTGGTGCTGGGAATGGAACCCAGAGCCTCATACCAGCCAGGGAGGTGCTGTACCACCAAGCTACGTTGTTTTGTAGGCTCTGATTTCTTCAGTGTCCTCTTGGCCTTGCCTTTGGCTCCGCGGTGTGTTTATTCCTCACCTCTGGTGAGATCTGTAAACATGGAAGCCGCCTCTCAGCTGGCACTCAGCGTCTCAGCCTGCAGCTGCCCAGTGGACCATCCCTCACTATGAATTCTGAACGGGCAGCTGTGGAGGGCACACCCTTGATTATGGTGTTTCCATTTTGTTTCTGCTTTAATGGCTTCTGGTACTGGTATACAGACCCTCTACCTACAGCCCGGAACCTTCACATGCTGACCTAGTGCAGCCCTGCCAGCAGCAGTGGGGGCCTGTCATACATCAGGGTCTCACCATTGCTCCTTCTGTCCTGGGGAAGCATAGGACCAGCATGAAGGAGTGGGGGGAAGTTTTTTGATTGTTGTTGGGCACTCTTGTTGGTGATGGATTTTTCTAGAGAGCCATGTAGATCATACATTTCTCCTAAGATATGGTGAGGGGTGGGAATGCCAATTCTCCTCTACATTTTATTGTATCCAAGAATTGTATTTGTGTACATATATATTTTTTACTGAAAAAGAAAAATAATCCTGCCTTTGTACGCAATCCTTTTAACAAATTGTTTATTGTTGTATCCAGGTAACAAGCATGGTAAGTATTTTCACCAAACTGAGTATTCTGTATTTTAGCTGTGCTTGGCAGACTTTTTTTTTTTTTTTTGGCTAGCTTTGTGTTACCAGTCTTGGCTTTTCTAGAAAAACTCATTTGGGAAAAGGAGAAACCACCCACCTGTAGTGTCCCTTACCTCCTGAGCTTTTGTAAGAAGCCATGTAGCCTTAGACCCACGGCGGGGATACTCAAGAAAGCATGCGCCCCGCCAGCATGCTGCTTGGCTGGTCCCCCTTGTCCACCCTGCTGCTTCTGAACTATCCCCACCAGGTGTCTGCCAGGGCTCCCCGGCCTCGCATGACCCCAGCAGCTCCTGGGACTGTGGCCCTGTGACAGCCGGCACACACACAGGCTCTCCACACTCTCTGGATGATCCTGCCCCCAGTTTATGGCACATTTCTTCTCTGCTCCCCTCATCTGTGTACTTAAAAGCAGGGCCTCTCCCACCGGACTCCCCTAGTGTGTTAAGTAATTGGAGAAATCTCCTTCTGGAAGCTGAAAAAATAAATACATTGTCTACTCTTCTCAAAGGCTTCCCCGTTCTGTTAGAAAATGGATTCAGATTTTAAAAAGAAAAAAAAAAAAAAACACCTCTCCATTGGGTGTTTTCCGCGAGTGTTCAGCGTCACGTTAGTGGAGCGCGTTCCAGCCTCCTGGCCGTGTTCATTTATCCATGCATGTCTGCTTTCTCGGCCTCTTTTGTGGCTCCGTATTTTAGTCCATGTGCTCGTGGCTGTGGCTGTCTAACCTGCCTGGTAGCCGTGCATTCTGTATTAAGTCAGTGTGTCACTGTCACCTTCAAGGATCAGACCGCAAAGGACAAGGCCCTGCAGCACATGGCAGCCATGTCATCAGCCCAGATCGTCTCCGCCACTGCCATTCACAACAAGCTGGGGCTGCCTGGGATTCCACGCCCCACCTTCCCAGGGGCACCGGGGGTAAGTCAGCAGCCACGTCTGGGAAGGAGAGCTGCTCTGGACGCCGGGTGGGTGCGGGCCGGCCTCCTCCTCCTGGCACTTCTTACCAATTGGGTCAAATATAAAAAGGATAAAGACTTCCTTGTGGTGAACTGAGATGCTGGGTGTAAAGTGGTAAGAGAAAGGAAGGGAGGAGGAGTGGAGGAAGAGCAAAAGCAGGTGGGAGGCAGGAGGGGGAGAGAGGAAATCCTTAGTCCCTGCAGATGTGGAAGTAAGTATCACTTTTCGGGTGCAACCTGCCTCTTCTGCACTCTTTTTCCTGGCTCATGGTCCTGTCCCTGTGACCTCAGGGTCACTGTGTGAGCTCGTCCCAAAAGGGACAACATATTCCCTTGGTCTTTTCATTTCGACACCTACCAAGGGCTGAGAAGCATTATGTCATAATCTCGTTGTACCTTACAGTCATAAAAGCCTCTTGCTTTCATTGCCATTTTACAGATGAGAAAGCTGAGGTTGCTAAGTAGCAAGACAAGAGCTAGGTCACAGGCAGATGCACAGTGATGCCTGGATTCAGCTCCAGGGCTCTGCGGTGCCAGAGGCTGCCTTTTCCCTTTATCTCATGATGCCTTGGGCTGGGGAATGGCAGGTGCAGAAGGCCTCAGGGACGCCGGCAGCAAAGCAGTTGCCCTGATTCTTCTCTGAGCTCCTGGCCCTCTTGGTGCAAGCTTGATCCACTGCTCCACCGGGCCTTGGGTGCTGGAAATCACGGAGTCAGAGTAATACACAGGGAGTGCTTCAGAGCAGAGGGAGAGGAAGATTGGGTGCATGCATGGGCAAAGTGGTCCCACCCAGTGCTCTGTTGAGTGGCACAAGAGCTTTGAAGAACAGCCACTTGTCCCCTTCCCTCAGAAGGATTTTTCAAGACAGAGGTGCTGGGGGAGTCCTGGGTGGCAGTTGAGGGACAGTGATGACCACATATGCACTTGGGGAGGTGATGCTGCTGCTGGTGGGTGACTRAACCTGCTGCCCTTCAGCAGGGGCTGCAGTGCGTTTGCATCCTGTGAACTCGCGATCCTGAAGCCTTTGCCTTTTGTCTTCCAGTTCTGGCCTGGAATGATACAAACAGGGCAGCCAGGATCCTCCCAAGAGTAAGTCTCAAGAGGGCCACAGACAGCAGGGTTAGGGTTACCAGGGTACCTTTGGGCTTTGCAGAGAAAGGAGAGTAACTGCGATCCTTAGTCATGACCTCTTGGATTCAGAAGAAGTGTAAGCCCATCACTTCTGTGTGGAGGTCCTACAGATGGAATAGGAAGTGGGTTCCTGTCCCTTTATGGCTTTAGGAATAGGAAGTGGGTTCCTGTCCCTTTATGGCTTTAGGAATAGGAAATGGGTCCTTGTCCCTTTATGGCCTTGGAGGGCAGAGCATGGGCCTTCCTTGCCTGAAAGAGGGCAGCAGAGGTGACTCTGTAGCCCTTTCCACTCCGCTTGCCCAGTGGTAGTGCCTGTGTGGTGCATGTGTGTAAGGGGTGTCTGTCTAATAGAAAAATCCTGCAGATGCCTTGGGGGCAAGGGAAGCAGGCTCAGTCAACCAGAGGATAAGGGCAATTTGGGGCTAAAAGCTAGAGGCAAATCCAACCTGTACATTAAGAGAACTTGACTATTTGGCCTGAAGAAGGAGAGCCTGAAGCATGTCCTAAACCTTGCCTAGACACAGTGACTGCTGACCTCTGTTTTTTTAGGGATGAAGAGAGGTTCAGAGACAGATGTCACAGTGCACAAGAGTCAGGCTGACGTCTGTCCAGCAGGTGCCACTGAACTGGCACAAGGCCTGGTGGTTGGATCCTCAGCAGGCTCYCCGCAGGCAGGGACTAGAGTGGGGGGTCCCCATTGGGAGGCCAAGGCCAGGCCTGGGTAGGGGCCACTGCTGCTTCCATGATTTCTGATTCTTGGCACCCGTTTGTCCCCAGCGTCAAGCCCTTCGTGCAGCAGGCCTACCCCATCCAGCCAGCGGTCACGGCCCCCATTCCAGGTGAGTCTCCCCGTTCTCCCTCCTGGGGGAGTCAGTAGCCTCCACAACCAATGGCCAGGCCTGTTCTCAAGAGGGGTGATGCTCTTCTTTGTCACTGCTGTAGGTTTCCTGACACCCGTGGAAACTTGCCTGCCCCTTGCATTCCCGCCTCCTGTAGGGTAGGGGTCAGAATGGAGTTCGGGAGGGTCACAGGGGAGTCCCCGGCCTAGTCCCGAATAGCTTCAGTCATCTCCCAAGAGCACTTCAGATGGGTTTGTGAAAAACAGGAAGCCTGACCACTTTCACTGAAGATGCTAGCTCACCCTCAGATGAGGACGTTGATGCCCGTCCCTCCTCACCATGAACTGGCTGTGTTGGGCCGTCCACATCCTCAGCACAGATAGTTTTCCTTGCCCTTTCTTAGATACATAGATTTCAATTTCTGCTGCACTTTTTGTGAAGGAGCGCTTGCACAGAAACCAAAAGTAGTAAACAAATCTGGTTGGCCCCCTCTCTACCCCGCTGCCACCACCACCGTGTGCACCTAGTTGAGAAGTACTTGTGGTGTGGTACAAAAATCATTGCTCAACACCATAGATGCCCCACACCAAAAATGTATCCACACATTGTCCTCTGCTCCAACACTGTGGGGCACCCCGAGGGAAGATTCTAAAGTGCTGGCCACCACAGTCTCAACAAAGAAGATGGGGGGGTGGGATTGTGGCTCAGTGGTAGAGCACTTGCATAGCACGTGTGAGGCACGGGGTTCGATCCTCAGCACCCCATTAAAGTGAGTAGATAAAGTAAAGGTATTTTGTCCATCTACAACTAAAAAAAAAAAAAATTAAAAAAAGAAAAGATGAGTAAACACAAGAAGTGCACAGCACAGCCTGTCTCCCAGGATGTCTTTGAAAACATTTCCTTGGAATTGTCAGCCATTTTTAGCTTGGTCTCTAGCTGGGCCCCTTTATCCAGGATTTGAAGTCCTTCTGCCACAGTCCTTCACCCCTTCGCTAAATGTGGCTTCTTGTGTTATGCTTGTCCATCTCGTCACTGTCTATGAGAGCCTCAGCCAGAATGTCACCCCTGCCCAGCTGAGTTCTGCCCCCTAGACCCGGGTGGGAGGACACTCTCGGCCTTTCCTTCTAGATCACGTTTTGTGGAGTCCTACCCCAGTACCATCCTGAGGCCAGGGGAAGCCAATGGCCAGGTGTAAAGGTGACCATTGGTCTTTCAGGGTTTGAGCCTACGTCAGCCCCAGCTCCCTCGGTCCCTGCCTGGCAAGGGCGTTCCATTGGCACAACCAAGCTTCGCCTGGTGGAATTCTCAGCTTTTCTTGAACAACAGCGAGACCCAGACTCGGTGAGTGTGCCCCAGAGGTGTGTCTTGATCCAGGACTTACTATCGTCTCCATCTTGTTCATCTTCTCGCTTCTCTGCCTTTTGTCCTTCTCTTTCCCTGGTCCTGTGAGATTGATGCCCTGTGTGCAGCCGACTTGGAGYAGCCCAGCAACTTCCCCTCTAGGAGAAGGGCATTCCTCCTGGCAAGTGGTAGAACTCCAGAGCTGGGTGTTTATTGCTGCTTACACCATAGTTCTCTGGGGAATACTTAAGCTGGAGGGACAGCCCTTTATAGGCTCTTGTGCCTASTAAAATTTAACAACAGGTGACATTTATTGAGACCTGCCATGTGGCTGGCACTGTGCGAAGGTATTTAGGTATTTGGTCACATTTTATCTTGTAGAAGCACCKTGAGGGGAGTACCGCCTGGCACATGAGGAAACTGAAAGGCTGAGCAACTTCTCCAAAGTTACCTTGTTGAATCCGTGGGTCAAAGATTCAAACTCAAGTCTTTAAAATTCTCAAGTCCAAGTAGTCATTCTACACTACTTTTCCAAGGCTGTGTTTTCTCAAAATAGCAAGTTGCTATCTCCTGAAGGAAAAGTCACAAAGTGGTACTTTTGAACAGCTTCGCATAGAATGCAGTGCATTTTAATATTGTAAATACCAGTACCACTGGCATCTGGACTCTATTTGTCATCTTTCTCTCCCCGCCCCATCTTGTACCCATCATCCCATCGTTTCCCATACATATGTGATCCTCCCTTCCTTTCCACCCCACGAGCCCTGTACCCTTTCTCCACACCCACTCCTTGGCTGTGCTTATAAGCCTTGCATCTGTGTGTGGGTGCGTCCAAAGCAGAAATCAAAGGAATCAGGAGTTTGTCTTTGGGATCCTCACCAATTCCTTTCTGCATTCTCCCTCTCCCCCTCCCACCCATCCCGGGGGCTACCAAAAGCATGTACGTCCCGGGCTCGCTGAGTGTTGCCAATGCTGCTGTCATTCTCTCAGGAAAATATGTCATGCAAGCAGTCACAGTCCGTGCTAAATAACCAGGATCCTGAGCAATTGGAAGGGCCTTACAGGAAAGTTTGTGTTCTAGCTAGGTGGGAAGGCTCCCATGGGTGGGTGCGTAGGGAGATGCTGTGGGCCAGAGGGACTTGGCAGCCATCACCAGAGCAGGGACAGGACAAACCCATGTGTGGCCCACTGATGTCCCCATCCATGAATCCTGAACCCTAATTGCTGGTGGAAAAATAGAATTGCTTCTATGTTAGGGGAAAAATAAGGGGAAAGATGTAAAGTAGGTCATTGAGCCCATCAGGGAAGTGGGACCAAGGACAGAAGAAGGCCCACAGGATCACTCTTCTCCAAGAGCTGGGTGCTTTTGGAAGACAAGTGGTGCTGGGGGTTAAAATCCATGTACATGGGGGCATTAAAATAAATCAAAAGAATGGCAACCCTCGTGGCCTAGGCTTCCTCTTCTTGGCTCTTTGATGGAAGGCTGGGCTTTGGCCCTCTTTGGCTGCTAGGACGCATGTTTGTGTGACTCCCTGGTGTTTACTTGGTGCTTCGTCTTCCATCCTTGCCTTCTGCCCTCACAGCCCCCCATGAGGTAGGTTCTGTTGGCTTCGTTTTACAGATAGAAACTGAGGCCCCAAACACAGCCTTCCTATTTAGAAAGTCTCTTAAATTTCCTGTTCAGTTCAAATATTGCCTCTCTAAGCAAAATCTCTCTCTCTCTCTCTCCCCCTCCCTCCCTCCCCCTCCCTCCCTCTCCCTCTCCCCCTCCCCCCTCCCTCTTTCTGCATATGGTCATTTATGTTTTTTAAGGACAGTGCTCTAAGGTGCTTGGAAGTAAAAGCCCCAAGATGATTTTACCCCTGGTATCACCATCAAAAAAAAAAATATATATATATATTCTTTTAATTAGAGGAGAATCTGGTAACCCCCTTCTTTTTGCTACRTTCTCCAGTTGTGGATCTTGTTTTTGTTCCTAGTTGTGTTGTTGGCCTTGACATTTTTGAACCGCTGACAGATTCCTTCAGTCTGTTCTATCCAAATTCACATGCATCTACAAGGAGAAGGGGCTGCAGAGAAGAGGGGCCGCTGCCGCTCAGAGAGCCACAGCCTGTGCCCTGGTGGGATGTAGTGCCTGGTGCGAGACACACAGTTACATGGGAGAGCTCTGTGACCTTTGGTGGCTGCTAGGAAGGCAGGGTACGAAATGCCTGAGTGAGGGGCAGACCAGGCCTGATAGAGGATGGGACCCTCAAGCTGAGAGGTGGAGGATTGGGCAAGGAAAGAATAAGGCACCAGAACATTCTAGAGATGATGAATCTGAAGTATTTAAAGCCATAAATGAAATTGGTGACTATTTTAATAATTCCAGAGCTCACCAAATTTCAGTGACTAGAAATACATATTTTATGCATGTTCAGAATGACATCTGAATGTTGAAACTAGAGTTAGAATTTTTGTTTAGTTAAAAAAGAAAAAAGTTGGCTAGATATTTAGGTCCCCAACAAGTGATTTCAAAGGTACTTAAATAAATGGAAGGGCTGGTGTGAGTCAACACCCTTGGGCCCCTTGAGGAGATAATTATTCTATTTATGAGTTGGGAGCCAGGAGAGATTGGAGCCCTTTGAACTACTACTTGCCAACCAGTGTATCAGGCACTGGGGATCCAGCAGCGATGGAAACTAAATTCTTACTGTCTGGAGCCCACACTGTTAGAGAAGGCAAACCACCATGCAAAAAGTACATGTGTAGACCTTCATGGGGTCTGCCTCCATGGGGCATGCCAGAACCCACAGGTACTCCAGTCCCCTGTGTAAAATGGAGGAGGATATGCATATAACTGACGTGCGTCTCCTGTACTCTAAATCATCTCTAGGCCATTTATATTATCTAATACCTGTCAGTGCTATCTAAGTAACTCTTTAATKGTTAAGGAATGATGACAAGGAAAAAAAAATTGTCCATGCCAGGACAGATGTTGTTTGGGGGTTGTATTTTCAATCTGCAGTTGGTTGAATTGAGAATGTAGAATCCATGGATACAGAGAGCCAACCAAGTAATGGTGATTGCTAATAGGAGATAACAGACCTTCCTTACAATTAGAAGTTCCTTGAATTAGAAATCTTTGAAAACAGTGATATCATCTAATACCTGTGTTGATATTTATGACTTGTATTAGGATACTAAACGATATCAAATATTGCCAATCAAAACCATCATACTACAACCTTAATCTACAACCTTAATCTCAGTTATGGATATCGCTTTGATGTTATGAACACTTATTTTGCAGTTGAACACAAATGAGTTAAAAGCATGCGAATGAGTACAGGACAGGTCAGAAACAGGGTATGTCTTTGGTTTTAGTGGAAATATGAGAGCCTGAAGGGGGTTCTACTGCTAGAAGAAAGTAGTGGTTGGTTGACTAATTGAAATGAGGAAGAATTATCAAAATTATTGAAAGCTTTTGACACATTCTCAGGCACCAGTCTCTCATCATATAATGCATTCTTGACTTAGCATATCTCTAGTGCTCTTACAGTAACGGCATAGTACCTCAGGACCAAGGCTGTGCTAAAATGTTGATGTGTGGATGCTTTCTTTGGCTTTGAGATCTTTTTGTGACTCCCTGGACATTCGTTTACTATATTTTTGTTCCATTGATAGGAAAATTGAAGCCATCTAAAATATTCAGCTGGTATGTTTTTTTTTAAGTTGGATATGCTATAGTTAAAATTTAGGAATCAATATTAAGCTATTGATTTGATAAGGAAGACAAAAAAGTGACTAATAAATGAAAGGGCGCTGAACAATCTAAACTTCACTTTTGGATTCTCTAAATCCAGGCAGACACATACATACATTATACATTTCTTCTCTATTTCTTGTTGGTGACCTAAGCTCATTGGGATCATGGAGTTACTAGGTTGTTTTATTTTCTGTTGTGTAAGTGGAAGAAAGATTGTAGGTATTGTGGGCAACAAAGAAAGAAGTCGACTAGCCGGGAGCAGTGAGTCTTGTAATACTTGTCACACTCTCTGTGAGGGACTAGTTCTGTTCCCTTCTACAGAAAAGCTTGGAGAGATTGCTGTCTTGGAGCTAGTGGCAGTCAGCTCGAAGCCAGTGTCCTTTATGATCTCCAAGAGAAGACACAACTGCATACCTACGTCCTAGGTATGAAGCAAAGCCAAGAACCTAGCTTGCTTCCTCCTCCGCCTAGGACTGCTTCCCCTGGAGCCCGCATTTCTTGAAACTCACGTCTTTGACTGATTGCATATTTCATTATTGCTATCACTAAAGACTTCACGATCCTGTTACTTCTAGCAGTGTTAATACTGGTACTAGAACCCAGGAGTGGTGTTAGCCAACAGCTTTTAAATGTTATTTGTGTGTGCCAATGCTATGCATTATCTCATTTAATCCTTATGAATTAGCTTGCTCAGTATCAGACAGCTATCTGATAATTGGAAATGGGATTCAGATCCAGGCCTGTCTTCTGACTCCACGTCCTGAGATTGTGACTGCAAGGCTGTTCGGTCCATTTGTATCTGAGGAGTGGCCTGTTTTTGTCACCCAAGGCTATAAGAAGCTAATGGAAGAATAATCAGGGGATGCTCGCCCCCTGCTGGTTCCGTGTCATGTGTGCACCAGACGGCCGGCTGCTGCCTCCCCAAGTTGGTGGTTGTTTATGTTGGTAGAGAACCAGCAAGTCAGTCCCTCTGTTACCTTTGGCTCCAGTAGAAGCTAAGAGAAAAACAGCAGAGGGTGAAGAAAGGAAGGAAGAGTCTAAAAAACAAGGACTATTTTAGAAGTAGTTAGTAATGCTTGAAAATATACTTTGTACATGATTTTAATGTTGCCTATCAAAGGAACGTCAAGTGCTAAGTGCGGGATCCTCCACCCAGGGGTGGGTTATTTAAAAAGGCTTGGCCTGATATCAAGGCCCAGCTCTGGAGACAGTTGGGCAGCTGCTTCTTTATACACACACAAACTCATCTTGG